CCGAATTCCTTTCTTATTACGTCACGCGCGCGCGCCCCCACAGTACTTTCCTATGGGGACCGCTAAAAAAGCAAATAAAACGATTGTAAAAGCTTGTATCACAAAAATTTAAAAACGCCTAGGGGTATTTGCCCACTGTACCTCCATACCAAATTTCAGGACCTTAGGCCCTAAAATGAAGAAGCTGAATCCATTTAAAAAATGGCAGGAGGAGGAGAAGAAGAAGAAGAAGAAACATCAGAAAAAGCAATATGGTTTCACCACACCACTTCGTGGTGTGGTGAACCCATAATAAATTAACATTATTGGAAGTTATTATCCGTCTCCATGTTTTCATTTAGTACTGAATGCCTGTTGTGTTGAAAAATACTTGTGAGATCCCACAATCTCAAGATGGGACCGTATCCATTTCAATCATACAAAGTGAAACAAAGTTTCATTTAACCGTACGAATTGACGAAGAAAATGTGTCTGAAACACACGTGTATGGCATGGTATCATGCCCGTAGCCAGGATTTTGAATGGGGGGGGGGGTTCTTCCCACTGCTAGAGGGGACCTCGAGCGGGCGCGAGGTTCCTAGGGGGGTTCGGGGGCATGCTCCCCCGGAAAATTTTGACAAATGAATCTTCTAAAATGGCATTTCGTGCATTTTTGAGAGGATTTCCAAGAAAAAATCAGAGATAATTCTTTATTCAATGACAAAGGGAGCAGTTTTTCTACGATTGCACTCCATCTTTTCAAGAAAAATCTTGGACCTTTACATAAAAAGTGGACAAAAAGTGGACCTTTACATAAAAAGTGGACCAAAAAGTGGACCTTTGAGCCTTTGACCCCCCCCCGGCTACGGGCATGTATCAAAAATGATCTAAAAAGGATGTAACTGCTGTGACCCATGGCCAAGTGTATTGTTATTCCATGTTAAAAACCATATATATATCTAGAGAGAGAGGCGTGGCTTGCAAATTGTCTACATTATTATTGACTATTGATAGCTGACGATTATTCCACTCTCTCATGGGGGTAGCTAGAACCCCAAAATGAAGAAAGGTCATTTTCAGTATTAATTCAACACGCGTAAACCCTATCATGCCATACGGTCACCTCGAAACTGACGAGAATTCACCCACCCACCCCCCATTGGTGCTTTAAACTAATTACATTCTAGTCCTTGTTTAAACCTAGCCTTGGCTCAACTGTAGCGCCTCGGCACAAAAGGCGCTTTCGCACAAAGGCTGATGGGAGATGTTGACACATGTAACGTTACAGGTAAATATACATGTACCTTTGGAATCATGAGAAGTGCCAAAGGCTAGACGGAACGGTGTGAGAGACGCCTTCTTCTTTTGGAAGAAATAACGCTTATCAGACTGTAACAGTGCGGTAAGATAAATACTAGTATAAGCTTCTACGAACCTGACCTACACATAATTGTAGTCTAGATACTGCGGCACAATCTGTACGTGGGGACACCCGTGTCCATAATATCACCAGGGTCCATAATATCGCCACCTTGAGAAATAGTGTGCTTTAAGATATCTTTACTGCAATATACTTTTGGTACGCACTCCTTCACACCTCAAATGTACATACCTAGGGTATGTTGCAGTAAAATATCTTTAAGCACACTTTTTCTGAAGGTTATGGACTATGGACTATGGACAATATTAAGGACTTTGGTGATATTATGGACACAGATGTATATATGTGTTTATGCATATGGTTCAGCCTACTAATGAAGGTTAGACATCCAGGTAAACGATACTTAAAGACCACTCAAACTGTAATACTGGATATTCATAGAGTGCATCACTATTTCATAATTTATAATTGCAAAATAAGCTACTACGTACGAACCTGACCAACTTGTAATTGTATTCTAGATAGCACAAACTGGATATTTCATAACCTATGTCTGCTATTTCCTGTTGTAGAGTGAATGGTGTTTGTACATATTTGTATATAGTGTGTTTCTGTGTACCTGTCCTGTCTTGTTTTTTAACCAATTGTAAAAATCAATTACATAATTCAGGGGTGCATTAGCATTCTATATTCCATGCTTTTGTATGATTTTGTTGGATTGAATAAATAAATTGAATATGTGTTCGTGTATATGACTCAGTCTACTTTGATGAAGGCTAGACATCCAGGTAAACGATACTCAATTTTTCTGGTAATTCTTTTCATGAAGTAAGTTGAATCTATCCTATCCCAAAGTACACCGATGTGCTTGTTTTGTACCGTAGGCTGCCGCTAGTTACAGCTACATATAAATTGTAATCATGGGCGTTACCCGTAAATAAAATAAGAGACGCCTCACGTAGCTTGTTTGGGGGCTATTTTAAATGCTTACAATTTGAAATGTTGACGAAAATGTGTTCAGAAATGACAGTAAATGTCAATATCAGACAAGTGTCCTCATCCAGAGTTTTTTGTTATATTTTGTCGCCCTGAAATATCATTTGATGCTTTTAATGTCACGTTTTAACCTACATGTACATGTCGGGGGAGAGACAATAGTAATATATCACAGTGCATTACGATTAATAATTTATCATTACAAAAGCCACATTGCCCCGACGGCAGTGACGTTATAGGACTGTTGGGGTGAGGTGATACGTTTTGCAACGTTTTGCAAGATATGACTTGTACTATCATGAAAGTTTATCTGTGTCGGTAGTTACATGTTTAAAGTTAAAACTTTTGGTCCAACACAAAAAATTCTCTCACCTAGAGCTTTCGACCGGTGACTCTGGTCTTCCTCACTAGACTGACCCAGTGATGTGTGACGTCAACACTGGGTCAAAGGTATCTTCAGCAATATGATGAGGAGTCACAGGCTCATAAAGCTGGTGGTTGCGACGTCAATGGTGGCCGTATACGTTTACGTATCATATAGACTGCTCTCTTCAACGTCTATGTCAACTATGTGAGTACTAGATAATGTTCAGCAAAAATACAGTGTGTGTTTTGTTTGATAACCTTTTACTTGTGGTATGTATTTACTTGCATTTAACCCTATTCAGACCTGCCTTTTTTGGACAAGCTCAAACGGGGGGGGGTGCTTTTGAGGCCAGCCCCCTGTAACTCAACAACCACTTATCGTAGGGCCACCAAATTTTCATATGAACGTTTTATGTGAAAAAAACACGTGGTTGATACGAAAAACACAAGAGCTAGTTATATGGTCCGCCATCTTATAATAATAATTGTTTATTGATTGATCGATGTGTACAATCTCTAGCATGTGGCAGCGCAACTAAAAAAGTAGCGCTGAATTATATGCTAGTGTTTAAAAACAGAGAAACAAATATTGCACAGTTAACAAATAGACAACTAAACAAGTGTTTCACAGTTAACATATAGGCAACTAAAAAGTGTTAACATATAGGCAACTAAAAATTGTTATTTTCGAAGTGACAAAGCAGGTACTGATACCACCAGTGAATATTCAGTCTCTTGAAGAAATGCAGCCAATATCCTTTGATGCATATGAAAATATGCTGTTGTTGTTACCTGTACTGCAATACCAAACAAGCGAAAAATTGCAGCTATGTGGAGTTTGCAGCTCGCCTATGGCATTAACTGTTAATAAATAATCATAAACAGGTATGGTGACAGACAATTGTAACAGTACCGGTACATGTATAAGCTTGTCAGCCTTTTGAATAATTGTTTCAAACCATGAAATCTTCTACCACAAATGGTTTGGAATTGTAATGTTTATATTAAATTTGATAAAGGTCAACCCTGACCTGGTCCGAGGTGGAAAATTGGCTACGAGTCACTGAAATATGCCCTCAAATTTGCATAATTGCGATGGCGGTTACAACCTTAAATGTAAATGTTCATGAGCACCGTTCTTGTTGTGGTATACTAACAACCATATAGAAAAATGCTGTTTAGAAACTACAAAGCATGCACTAGTATTACCCGTATTGCTAGGTTCACACATTTTACTGTAGAGCTAGAAAAAAAATGGAAAAGTTTTAGGCTTTGCTTTATTTTTGACTTACTTATGTTTTTAGGCTATCTTCTTTTTTGTCCCGGTACAAACATGTATGTTTTTTTACAACAGTCAAACAGTAACTGCCTACTGCCTGGACAATTTGATGCTATCTTTGTAGCCATCAAAGATCTGCTTGGAGATTATGCAGGTCCAACTTTTCAACTGTTTGACAGCTTTCTAGCCTGATAAATGCATCAGTGATCCTTCTTTTTTTTAATCATAGGGTGACAATGGACCCAACCTAGTGAAAACTGAAACAATACATCTCACTGGGTTCTCTTTGTGTAATCGGCACGCAATTTTATACGCCGTCTGTGGGCATGCCCGTGTTGATGCACGAATGTGTATTTTTGCCGTTGCTGCTTTCGCGGTCAATGTAATATTGCAGACGCACCCCTACAATTACGAGGCGAATTGGAATGGTCCAAGAAAACGCGTTGTTTGGAATAGCAGGTGGGGGGGTGGGGGGTGGAACTTCATGCAGATACGGGGTGGTTTTGATAAGTGGTTCCAGATGTTTTTGCCCATGCTTAAGAGATGGCAAGTTTTTTGGAAGATGTTCGCAGCCAAAACGCATTCTTCCGTACGTCGCATTTCTGTGTAATTG